GCACCCCCTGCGCACCACGGGGGGCCGCTTAGTGCCTCTGCTCCTACGGAGCCCGCTGCTCCAGGCCTGGGCAGAGGAATCAGGGAGGCAGGGATACAGACGTGGCTCGTCTGTGTGCAGTTTTTGCAAGCATCTCACACCAGCGAGGTAGGATACGGGGGGGTGGGGTGGGGGGGCGTGGGGGGGTGGGGAGTGCACTGTGACTTTCAGGAATGCAAGCTGGTCGTATAAGATATGTATGCATGAATCCATTCAAAATGCTGTCGGACTTCTTTGTAACGGATACAGTGTTCCAGTTTTGCAGGATGAAAAAGGTATCTTCTCAGCACTGCCAAGCTGTACACGGAAATGTTGAAGATGGGGGCGGGGTTTGTGCAGCAGTTGGGATGGCACGTGGGATAAAAGCCCAGATCAGAGTGCCTGGGTTTGGGTTCCACCTGTGCTTTCCATCCAGCTTCCTGCTAATGCATTCCAAGGGAGGCAGCAAGTGATGGCTCAAGTCCTCGGGGCCCTGCCACCCACCTGGGAGACCTGGCTTGAGTTCCAGTCTCCTGGCTCCAACCTGCCCCAGCCCTGGATGTTACAGCCATTGGGGAGTGAACCAGCAGATGGACAATCTCTGTCTATCTCCCTTACAAAAAATTAAACACTTTAATTAAATGTTTAAGATGGTAAGTTTTATGTTGTATTTTATTACAATTAAAAATAAAAACGAACTTTAAAGTCGCAGGGAGCTTCAAAGGAAGTGGTCCCTGGTAGTCAGAGGAGGTGGTCTCTGAGCCACGCCCCCAAGTGCAGGAGAGACGGTGACAGTAGCGGCTGACACTCCGCTGAGCCCTTCGTGTCCATTAACTTGCTTCATCCCCTCGAAGCCTGGCGGGGAGATACCAGTATTCCCTCTCATCTGACTCGAATCCAGGGAGAGGCGGAATTCCTTGGTTTATCTTACTCTTAATAATTGCTAAAATATCCCCACGTTACGTCCGAATCAAGAGAAGCAGAAGTGAGTGTAGGTTTTTGTAACCCACTTTATTCATGTTTACAGCTTCCACTGGTGCCTAGAAAACTTCAACGAACTAATGATCATACATACGTTTGTGAGAATATCATGATAGTCATCTTTGGAATTTAGAGACATCAGAAAGTCTTGAGGGACAGATGCTGTGGCGGAGTGCATAAAGCCACTGTCTGCAGTGCTGGCATCCCATATGGGTGCGGTTTGAGTCCCGGCTGCTCCTCTTCCAATCCAACTCTCTGCTATGGCTTGGGAAAGCAACAGAAGAGGGCTCAAGTACTTGGGCCCCTGTACCAGTGTGGGAGACCCAGAATGAAGCTCCTGGCTCCTGGCTTCAGACTGATGCAGTTCCAGCCGTTGTGGTCATTTAGGGAATGAACCAATGGATGGAAGACCTCTCTCTCTCTCTTTCTGCCTTTTTTATTTTTTGACAGGCAGAGTTAGACAGTGAGATAGAGACAGAGACAGAGAGAAAAAGGTCTTCATTCCGCTGGTTCACCCCCCAAATGGCCGCTATGGCCGGCATGCTGCGCCAACCCGAAGCCAGGAGCCAGGTGCTTCTCCTGGTCTCCCATGTGGGTGCAGGGCCCAAGCACTTGGGCCATCCTCCACTGCCTTCCCGGGCCACAGCAGAGAGCTGGACTAGACGAGGGGCAACTGGGACAGAATCCAGCGCCCCAACCAGGACTGAACCCGGGGTGCCAGTGCCGCAGGCGGAGGATTAGCTTAGTGAGCCGCGGCGCCGGCGTGCTCTTCTCAACACAAGCAGCCTTGGCCTCTTGACTACTGGCTACTGTCTAGGGGCCCAGTTTTAGTGCCTTGCTGCCAGTCAGCTGTGTCTCCTTTGTGAAATCGATATGGTGTAACAAGGCAGTTAAAATTTCCCCCTGCTGGAACTCTTACCCCTGCAATATAACCCCACCTAACTGTGGTCTCCGTATGCCCACCTTCCCAGAATGCACCTATCACATCCGGGACCAGGGAGTATGGGAAGAGCAAGCCCCGCTTGTATATCTGATGGGGAGGGATACGGCCCCCTCCCTGATAAAAAGAGGTGGAAGGCGGGAGAGAGCGCACCTGCTGAACTGGTCTAGGACGGACTTCTCCCACTCTAGCTCAGAGGTAAAGTTTTCAGTTTTCCTTTCTCATTTTCAGACAACTCGTTGGCCCACTCCTGATGGGTAGTCATCTATGTGGGGCAGCCCACGCTTGTGCGTGAGTGTGTGCCTGTTCCCTCATGTTAAGTCGATTCTGTTCTTATTTGCATGCAATACTAGTCTGCTTAGTGAGTCTGCAGGAGAAATGAAACTGGATTGGAAATTAATATACTCACTGCCCACATCAGAAAGATCTCCAGCCCTCACTATCCTGTTCTAAAAACTGGTACCCTACTAGCGACCCTATGGTTGATTAGATTATCTTGAAGGTATCATGTATGTATGAAAAATAAAGTAGGGGGCCGGTGTTGTGGTTGAGCAGGCTAAGTCAACACTGGTGATGCAGGCAACCTGTACAGGTGCTGGTTTGAGTCCTGACTTCTACACTCTGATCTGACTTCCTGCTAATGCACCTGGGAAAGCAGAGGAGGCTGCCCAAGTATCTGGGCCCCTGCCATCCAACTGGGGGACCTGGAGGGGGTTCCAGGCTCCTGGCTTCAGCCTGGCCCAGCTGTAGCTGTTGCAAACACTTGGGGAGTAAACTAGCAGATGGACGATCTCTGTCTCTCCCTCTGTAATTCTGCCTTTTAAATTAATGAATGAATCTTTAGAAAAATAAGCTACATTCATGTTTAGGTTTGGGTCAAATTCCCAAGATGTCTCATTAGCTATATGCAAATACCCCACACTAAAAGCAAATGAGAAATCTGTAACACCTCTGGCCCCAAGCATTTGGACCGAGGATTTGCACCCGTATTCTGACAGCGAGCGGTGGGCAGGGCCGAGGTCCGTCCCGCACCCTGGAGACAGAGGTGCCTTGAAGGTAGAGGAACGCAGCCTGGGACGCAAAGCTCTCGCCCAAGTGCCCCGTCCCTGCGCCCCGTGAGCCCGCGCGTGTCCCCACGCGGCGTGGAACCGTCCGCTCTGCAGGTAGCTGACTTGGATGTTCACTCGCCGGCCCGGCGGCTTTCTTGATACTGCTGCTGGAATACGGCTGGGGCTCGCGTAGCCCATGTCTGCAGCGAGTTCTTCCGGTCCGGTCCGGAATGGAACTGGGCTGGGCCCGGGGACACGTGGGACTCCCTGTGTGTGCAGCGCCCCCGGGGTGAGCGCTGGGCCAGGGGCTTCCAAGCCTGTGTGGAGAGCGGCCTCGCCCAACTTGCTGTTTGCTGAGCGGCTGCCGGGAGCTTCGGATTCTGTCACACCCTCAAGGCGCCGCCGCTGCCTAAGGCTTTCCTTGGGATCCACTGGAGTTAACGGTGCTTTCAAAAGCCATGCAGGGCGACCGGAAGTTCTGAAAGCAGCGTTTTGCCCTGGAGAGGCGGGAACTGAGCAGGAATTCCGTGGAAACAGCACCGGCGGCGCGGCCTCCGCGGGGATTCTCGGGGACTCCGGCCGCGCCCCGCTGGAGGCCGGGCCGGGCCCTCTACTCCGGGGCGCTCCCCCACGCAGCTCCCCGGCCTGGTTCCCCGCGCGTCGGGAGCGACCTGCGCTCGGTCCCTGCCCCGCCTGTGGACGGGATCTCGCCTGGCGCGGGGGGGGGGGGGGGGGGGGGGGGGGGGGGCGGGCCCGGGGACCACACGCGCCCGCAACTGGCGGGGCGCGGCTGCGGGGCACCCGCGTGGGCCCTGTTGTCCGCGGAAGGCGGGTGCAGAGCCACCTCCCGGAACCGGGTCGGAGGCAGGACCGGGACCCCTGGGCCGGTACCCCGCCATCTCTGATACTCAGCGAGACCCCGAAAACTGCGCTCCCTCCCCTCCGCGGCTCCACAGCCCCGCGGACCGCGAGCGCCGCTCCTGAGTCTCTTATTATTATTAATATTATGATTTGGAAGGCTCAGGGAGGGAGGGAAAGATAGCATCTACTGGTTCACTCCCCCGTGGGTGCAGGGGCTCAAACACCTGGGCCATCTTCCACTGCTTTCCCAAGCCATTAGCAGGGAGCTGGATTGGAAGTGGAGCAGCTGAGACTTGAACCAGCACCCATATGGGAAGCTGGGGCTGCAAGCGAACGCTTAACCTACTAGCCACAGCAAGGGCCCGTTTATGGAACTTTAAACACAAGGACAGAAAGTTCTAGTGGACACGTGCTGTTCTCAGCAACCCAAGCTTGCTTTGGAGACTCTTCCCCACCCCACCCCACCCCCAGCAAAGTGGTGTGAGAACAGCGCCCCTCCCCTGTCCGCCAGCCTGACACCTCCTCTCTGCCCAGTGAGTGCTCAGGACCTCCTGGGCCGCCCAGTCCTACCTGTGCTCCCTCCAGAGCCACGACCACCGATAGAGGCCCTCTGTGAGCTTAGCACGAGTGGACAGCATGGACGACAGTGGTCACACACTCGAGAGCAGTGGTTCCCAACCACCACGGATTCTTTTTGAAAAGCCAAGTGACAGAGATGGAGAGGTCTTCCATCTGCTGTAGCGGCAATCCCCGGGGCTGGGCCACACCAAGGGCAGGATCCAGAACTCCATGCAGGTCGCTCGTGTAGGTGGCAGGGGCCCAGAGACTTCGGCCATCATCTGTGGATTTCCCAGGCACATTAGCGAGGGAGCTGGATTGAAGTGGACTGCCGGGACTGGGACTCGAACCCGCATCCATTTGGGATGCCAGCACTGCAGGTGGCAGCTTTACCTACTACGTCACAGTGGGTAGACACACTGTCTACAAAAGTGTTACTGGGGCAGTCACAAAATACCGCACCCACCCACACACAACTGATAAGGTGCACTCATGCAGTTTTGTAGACTCCTTCTTTACATGGACTTCAAAATTTTCTGTGCCAAAATAAACTGATCTTTTAATCCCATGTTCTACAAACATTTTGAAGCAGACACTTTTCTCTCACTTTATTTCAAAAGCAGACACAGAAAGGTATTCCACCTGCAGGTTCACTCTCCAAATGCCCGGGCAGAACCAGGCCAAAGCCAGGAGCACCGATCAATCCAAGTTTCCCAGCTGGGAGGCAGGGACCTGATACCTGAGTCCTCTCACGCTGCCTCCCGGGGGCGCACTGGCCGGAAGTGAGACCAGGAAGCAGAGCTGCAGTTGGACCCCAGACACCCTGACATGGAAGAGGACAAACTAAGCGGCACCCTAACACTGCACCAAACGCCTACCCCTCAAGTTATTTCCATCAGTAAAGACACCGCGGTCAGCCTAGACCTACGTGGATTTCAGAATCCGCACTCCCCTGACAGAAAACACCCGTGGAAAGGCCTGAAGTGAGGGTAGAGTCTAGCAGGTGGAGCTGGTTGTGTGGCAGTGGGTTAAGCCAGTACCTGCAATGCACACGTCCCATGTGGGTACTGGGTTCGAGTCCAGACTATTCTACTTCTGATCCAGCACCCTGCTAGCGTGCCTGGCAAAAGCACCAGGAAGGACCAGAGTACTTGGGCTCCTGCCACCCATGTGGGAGACCCAGATGGAGCTCCAGGCTCCTACTGTCAGCCTGGCCCAGCCATGGCTGTTGCAGCCTTTCTGGGTGTCAACCAGCAGGTGCAAGTCCTTCTCTGTCTACCTCTCCCTGAAACTCTGGCTTTCAAATAAATACATCTTTATAAAACTTCTTCAAGTACTGACGTTTTTAGAGCCACAGATCAAGTAAATCCTCTTCAGATGTTAACTAAAGCACGTGAGGGTCTGCAGTCCCAGCTCTGCTCCCACAGTTTATTAACTCTTTACTTCTCAGGCCTGTCTTCACTCTGAAGCCCTGGCACTCAGACCCCTGGACTTCTAGATGCTGGATGGGACAGGTAACGTTACAATGTTTCTGCGAAAGTAAGGATGGATGACACTAGACAAATATCTTGAAAGAAATTACAAAAAGGCAAGTTGTAAAATAGCAAAATCTCATCGAGGATAAAATACAAATACTCTATCTGGACGCACTGCTGCGCTGCCGGTTTATATTCTTCTTCTTTGTTTCAGGGGACGACCCGCACGCACATCTCCCAGCCTGTCCTCCGGGGGCTCTGGGACGGATGACGTCACCTGTTTGCAAAAGAGAAAGGAACACTGAAGCTGAGCTTCCACAGTGGGAGAGAGAGTACGCTGCGAGAAGGCGTGGCAGAGACACCAAGTGTCCCATCCCTGCCCTCACCGTTAGAACAACTGGCCTAAGAAAAGTACAGCTGAAGACCTAGCACAGAGCAGAGGTCTCTGCCATTGACGGGAGAAAACCATGTTGAGGACAGAAGTGAACGTGTGCTCTTTAACAGTCTTCACTGAGCTAAAGCCATCTGTGGTTGTAGGACACTGGGATCCTGGCTGCACGTCCTTGAGACGTTGGTAACAGTGGGTGGACCTGGGGGACAGGATGAGGACTTGGTGAAAGGAGCAGAGAAGGCAGAATCCTGAGATCCCCAGGGCAGAGCCACCCCAGCAACAGACTCAGTGAGCGCGCCCGTCTCAGCAGCTACAGAGTCCTCACTGAAATGCAGAAGTGTTGGATTCTGTAGTAGGCTGTGTTGACTGTGCTAATACGCACAGCTCTGTCAGATCACCCGTGACCCCTGGGGTTCAAGAAAGAGGCCGCCTGTGACCCTCCGTTTAGGAGTTCAACCCCACCCACAGAAAGGTCTCCTTCCAAAGCTACTCCAAACAGTGCCTTTCTCTCACGTGTGCCCAGGAAGTGGAGAGGGACTACGTGAAGATGGCTAAGCAGCACAATCCCACTCTAGGCTTAGAAGAGGCTGACAGTTCGTGCAAACCTCACGGCCCGATCTAAAGTTTCGCCCCTGCAGCCTTCTCACACATCAAGGCCAAAGCAGCCTTCTGAGTCGGAGGTAACCTGCAGGAGCTTTGAACTCCAGAGACAAAACGTGCAGCCGCTTTTCTCCTCCCCCCCGGGCTTGCTCAGCTCCCTGGGCACTTAAGCAGGAGGCCTGGGCTCCGTCTCGGGGACTTTACACGTACAGCAATGGAAAACGCCGGTTCACGTTCCACCAAGAGTAACAACCACAGCAGATGAGTGTTAGGCGACTCGGCTAATCAGCAGAGGGCTGTAGACAGCACAGCGAGCCCCTGACCCTTAGAACAGCGGGGTTCCCACGGAGGACGCCCCCGTGGCTCCTCGCGGCCCTACAACCGCCATGTCCACCCAGGCTTTCCAGCGCCCTCACCTCTCTGAGTCTCCTCCGAATGAGGGCGGCCGTGGCATTCAGCGAGGCGTCCTGCAGGTCCACCTCGGGCTCCTGCGGCAGCAGGGGCCCGATGACCACGGCGCGGCCGCTCGGGTCGGGCTCGGGGCCGGCTGCCCGTTTCCGGTCCTCCTCCCTGCGTCTCTGGCGCTCCTGCAGCTGCGTGCTCCGAGGCAGGAACCTGTCCACGGCTGCCGAAGACGGGGCGGCCTCGGGAGCGCTCCGTGGGCTCGGCGCAGAGTCCCAGAGCCGGGGGCCCTCGGCTCCAAAGCCGGCCCCGCCGCCCAGGCGCTTGCCAGGTGCCCCCGCATGGTGCGTGGCGAAGGAGCACAGAGGCCGTTGGCAGGAACAGGGAAGAGGCGGCCGCGAGCGCCCGGCAGAGGGGTCCAGGGCGGCCGCGCAGGACACAGCACCGCCTGCGGGCAGGTCCGGGCTGCAGGGGTCCGCGTCTCCGGGCTGGGGCAGGGGCGGCGGCGGCTTCGTCGGGACGCAGCCTTCGGGTTCCCAGGCAAAGCGACAGTGAAACAAGCGTTCACTAGTGCGGTCCTCGGTCAGGGAACCGATGCCGCCCCAGATCCGCGATGCTTGGCGGGGCGCGTCCACGTGGTCCGAGTTACAAAGGCTAAAAAGGAGCCCGGGTCAGGCCGCGCCCTCGCCCACCCCTCGGGTGCCTGGTCCCCGTTACTCATGCAGCTTCTGCGCGTTTGCTGTGGGAGCCGGGCGGTGCCTCCTACGCCCAGGGCCGCGTGCGCTCCCACTGCGCCCTCTGCTTTCCCAGAACCTCCGTGGTCTCGGTCTGCCCGGGCCGCCACGCAGAAGCTGCTGCGCCCGGCTCTCAGGAAAGGAGCCGCAGGCCTCCTCCCTGCAGCTGCGGGCCAGGGCGGCGTGGGCACCCGAGGCCGCTGCCAGCGCCCACACCCAGCAGGGGAGGGAGGGCGCTCCCTACCTTTGCTCCTCGTGCTCCTCCCCACGTACGCCTTCCTCGCTGCTAACTTCCTCCTGGTTTCCTCCACGGTTTCAAATTCCGGAGCGTAGCACACGTGAAGCAATCCGCCGAAGAAGCTCTGCTCGTCCATCTTCCTCTTGGCCGTCCTGGGCAGAAACACGTCCCGGCAGGGGTCAACCTAGACGCACCCGGCACGAGAGCTCGGCTGGCACCGCACGCGGGGACCCGCAGGGGACGCCCGGCTGTGCTGTGCGCGCATCCACCCTGCGCTCGGGGAAGCCGGGGCTCTGCTGTGCGCGCCGCCGACCCCGCCGAGCCTGCGGGGCCCCGGGGCCTCCTCTCGCCTCTCCCAGGAATCCAGACCTCCCGTGGCGGTGGGGTGGCAGGGACCGAGCACCTGCACCTGCCGCCTCCCAGCACGCACAGCGGCAGGATGCTGGCGGGAGCAGAGACCGGAGGAGACCGGAATGGGGCTCCGCTAGGGAGGCGGCGGCCCACGCCAGCTGCTCCCGTCTGCGAGCTCGCAGATGACCCCGCACACGCGATCCGTGTCTCCGCACAGAAGTCAACCCATCTTGACTCCCGTTCGCGGCCTGTCCGAGGTGCCCGCGCTCAGTCCCGGGGCGACGCAGGCGTGAGGAGGCGGACCCGGACCCGGACCCGGGCCGACAGGAGGGAAGCAGAGACCAGGCGCCGCCCGCTCGCACGGTACCTGGCACTGTGCAGATGCAGGAACTTAATGAGATAGACCTCGGTGAACTCCTCCGCCGGGTACTCGTCTAAAGCATTGTACTGCTCGATGGCGCCGTACAGAGCAAAGCGCTCGACGAGCTCCCGCATGGCTCCCAGCGCAGGGACGCCCTGGACCAGCAAGTACCGGGACTCCAGGTTGATCGTGTACACCTGCAAAGGCCAGCGCAGAGCTCGGTGCCGTCACACACGCGCTTAGGGACCCGCGCGCCCTGAAACGGGGCTCTGCGAACCAACACTCCGTTCACGCGGAGCGCAAAACCCACGCAACAGGAGAACTCCCGCCCGAGTCTCTGCCCAAGACGCAGCCCCGCACGACAGCAGGCTCCCCGCCGGGCTGCGGGCCCCGAGGTCGGCGTGGCGGGAGTCGTCCGACGGCCACGCAGCCAGCGCGACCCCCGGGCCTCGCCCGTGCTCAGCACGGAGGCCAGCCCCGCAGCGGCCCCGCGTCGCGCCCAGCCGCAGCCGCAGTGCCGGCCTTCGAGGCCGCCCCTCGGCTCCCCCGCTCTCGGGGTCCCGCCCAGGGCTCCTCACGCGCCCCCGGCGGCCGCTGGACCGGCCAGCAGCGGAGCCCACTCCGTCCTCGCGGGGCGCTGACCCCACACACAGCTACCGAGGACGGCCACCCGCGGACGTCACGTCACCTTGACGGCGCGGGGCCGGCGTCCCTCCCGATACTTGGCCCGCGTGTCGCACACCGCCTTCGGGACGTGGTGCTCCCAGACGCTCCCGGGCTGCCCGTCCCTCGACGCCATCGCGCTCTGCCCGGGGCTCCCGACGAAGACAACATCCGCCGGGCGGCCCCTCGTTTCTCCAATAAGAGGGCGGGATGGGTCACGGCGTGCCCGGATTGGCTGGAGCATCGACGGCGTCGGCCATCGTTTCCTGCGAGTGAGGACTTGGGGAGCGAGTGCCGCCCCCTAGCGGTGCGGCGGAGAGCGGGTGAGAAGCCGGCCCTCCCCCGCAGGGCGCGCGGCGGGACGCGCAGCTGGGCGAGAGGGCGGGACCGCCGGCGGCGCGGCCGATCGATGCTCTCGGGCTCGATGCCCTCGGCCTGCCGGGGCAGGGGTCACACGCTGGCTGTGGTGGGAGTGGGCCGAGCCGCGCTGCGGGACGATGTGGGGCGACAGTCGCCCGGCGGGGTCGGGGTCAGGCGGGGCGGCGGTGACTGTGGTCTTCACCAACGCTCGGGACTGCTTCCTGCACCTGCCGCGGCGCCTCGTGGCCCAGCTGCACCTGCTGCAGGTAACAAGAGAAAGCGGTTGCTAGGGCCCCGCACGGTCGCCGGGCCGCGTCCAGCCCCGGAGGGGGTCCCTGGGGCGGTCTGGGGGGTTCTCCGCCCGCCCCGCCGCGTCCGGAGCAGCCCCAGGCCGGTCACTGGCCTCTCCGCTCAGGACCCAGAGCGACGTCCACACGGGCTGCTGTGAAGTGGTTGAGGCCGCTGGCGGTGCTCCGACGAGGGTTAGCGGCCTGGTTCCGCCCGCGCCCGCGCAGCCCCGGGTGGGCAGGGTCGCAGGTGTTGAGGCGCTGACGGACGCGGACGCGGCGCCGCGCGTGCAGGACCCCGCGTGGGCCGCAGCCGGGCTGAGACCTTTCTCTCCCCGGTCCCCGCGTGCACAGAACCAGGCCGTGGAAGTAGCCTGGGGCCGGCAGCCCGTGTTCCTGAGCTGGGTGGAAGGCCGGCGGTTCAGCGATCCAGGCGAGAGTGTGGCTGAGATCAGCCGGCAAGTGGGGCGGACACTCGGACTCGCCGACGGCGGACAGGTGAGCACGCGGGGGCTGCGGCGAATTCTGGGAACGGCGCCAGAGCCGCGACCACAGCGCTCAGTGTTGTGTTTTTATGGACGTTAGATGATAGCAAACGCGTATGCTGTTACACTGATAGTCAAGTAACAGTAATTCTCTTGTCGTTTGCTATGCTGCTACCTTAGTTTTGTATTCTGTCACCTCTGTTACTGTTTACGTCCCTAACCATGTGTTGTTCAATTCCTTTTCCTTTATGAACAACTGGGTTTTACCCTTGTTTTCTTTTTAATTTTTTTATTTGACAGGTATAGTTATAGACACACAGAGAGAGAAAGGTCTTCCTTCCGTTGGTTCACCCCCCCCACCATGGCCGCTACGGCTGGCACTGTGCTGATCCCAAGCCAGGAGCCAGGTGCTTCCTCCTGGTCTGCCATGCGGGTGCAGGGCCATCCTCCACTGCCTTCCCGGGCCACAGCAGAGAGCTGGACTGGAAGTTGAGCAACCAGGACTAGAACGGGCACACATACGGGATGCCAGCGCCGCAGGCGGAGGATTAGCCTATTGAGCCACAGCGCCGGCCAAGATTTATTTATTCATTTGAAAAGCAGAGTTACAGAGAGGCAGAGTGAGAGAGAGAAGTCTTCCATCTGCTGGTTCTCTCCTCAAGTGACCACGACGGCCAGAGCCAGGCCCGTCTGAAGCCAGGAGCCAGGAGCTTCTTTTAGGTCTCCCATGTGGGTGCAGGGTCCCAAGCACCTGGGCTATCTTCTGCTTTCCTAGGCCATAGTAGTGAGCTGGATTGGAAGAGTAGTAGCTGGGACTCGAACCCGTGTCCATTTGGGATGCTGGCGCTGCAGACCAAGGCCTTAACCTGCTGTTCCACAGCACCAGCCCCTCTATTACCTCTTTTACTCACTCTTTAGGGTTCCTAATTTTGTTTTTGTGAAATTCTTTTCCTCTGGAGCCGCTGGATTTTGCCCTTATTGAACTACGTTTTCTAACCTTCTATGGTCTTGATTAAAAATATCAATATTGGAATAGAAGGTTATTCATGTATTTTTAAAAGATTGATTTGATAGGCAGAGTTAGAGAGGGAGATACAAAGAGAGATCTTCCATCCACTGGTTCACTCCCCTATGTGGTTACAATGGCTGGAGCTGTGCAGGGCCAAAGCCAGGTGTGTGGAATTCCATCTGGGTCTCCCAGATAGATGGCAGGGGCCCAAGCACTTGGGGCATCTTCTGCTACTTTCCCAGACTCATTAGTGGGTAGCTGTACTAGAAGTGGAACAGCCAGGACTTGAACCCATGCTCATATTGGATGCCAGCATTGAAGGCAGTGGCGTAACCCACGACAGCACAACACCAGCCCCTATTTTTCTCCTTTTGCCTGTGAATTTAATGTGCTTGATTGTAAACCTCAAAGCTTAAGGACTTGAGTCTGTTTTGTTACTTTTTATTTTTTGCAAGTGTAATCCTTTAAAACTTTTTTAAACTGTAGAAATAAGAAGCATTCTTTATACGTATTTTACATTTGAAAGTAAAAACTGGGTTTTTCTCTTTCCCCAGTCCCAGCATCAGAGTGAGTGTTTCCTGTAGTTGGGACCTCACTAGGCCGTTAGGATGTCAAGAATGAGATTATGCAGAAGGTCTTCATTGTCCTGTCCCGCGGAGTGTGTCAGACGCCTGTCCGTGTACACACCGAACAGCTCTCTGTCCGTGCATGTGAGATCCTCTTGTGCTGCTGCCACTGGGACGCCGTCTCCCCTAGAATCAGTGATAGGAACAGGAAGTGGACTGGCTAACCAAGGCGTCCGGGCTTCCTGCTGGGCAGGAGCTGCTTTGTGGATAGGGCGCCACGGAGGTGGTGAGCGAGCGGAAACTCTGCTGCTTGCTCCAGGCAGTCAGGAAGGGCCGGCTGGCTGCAGCACGGCTCTGGCCTTCATCTCTGAACGTGGGAAGCGTCTGCAGAAGGCAGAGAGTGAGATGCGGCTGCGGCTCCAGCTTTCTGAGATCTGTGATCTTACGTGGGTTACAGTGCGGGGCCAGGGGAGGGGAGCAGGTGTTTTACTCTCCTTTTGCTGTGAAGGATTACCCAGTACTTTTAAACACTTGTCTCTGATCTCTGTTTCAGTGTGTCGTTCACTTCATGGTTTTATTTACTTATTTATTTATTTATTTATTTTTAGAATTCTTGCATCTTCTTGGTGAACTTTTTTTTCTTTTCACTTCATGGTTTTAAAATTAACAGCTGGGGGGCTGGCGCTGTGGTATAGCGGGTAAAGCTGCCACTTGCAGTGCCGGCATCCCATATGGGCACTGGTTTGAGTTCTGGCTGCTCCACTTCTGATCCAGCTCTCTGCTATGGCCTGGGAAAGCAGTAGAGGTGGCCCAAGTCCTTGGGCCCCTGCACCTGTGGGGGAGACCTGGAAGAAGGTCCTGGCTCCTGGCTTTGGATAAGCTCAGCTCTGGCCATTATGAACCAGCAATGGAAGACTTATCTCTCTGCCTCTCCTTCTCTCTCTGTGTAACTCTGACTTTCAACTAAATAAAGAGAGGCAGAGACAGAGGTCTTCCATCCACTGGGTCACTCCCTAAATGGCCTCAACAGCTGGAACTGGGCCCATCGGAAGCTAGGAACCAGGAGCTTCTTCCAAGTCTCCAGTGTGGGTGCAGGGTCCCAAGGATTGAAGCCATCTTCTACTGCTTTCCCAGGCCACAGCAGGGAGTTGGATCAGAAGTGGAGCAGTTGGGACTCAAACCGGTGCCCAGGTGGTGGCTTTACACACTACACCACTGTGCCAGCCCACATTTCTTTTTCTTTCTTTTTCTTTTTCAAGATTGATTGATTTGAAAGAGTTACACAGAGAGAGAGGAGAGGCAGAGAGAGAGAGAGAGAGAGAGAGAGGTGTTCCCTCCACTGATTCACTTCCTAATTGGCCGCAATGGCCGGAGCTGCACCGATCTGAAGCCAGGAGCCAGGAACTTCTTCTGGCTTAGGCACAGGGGCCCAAGGACCTGGGCCATCTTCTACTGCTTCCCAGGCCACAGCAGAGAGTTGGATAGGAAGTGGAGCAGCTGGGACTCAAACCTGCGCCCATATGGGATGCTGGCACTGCAGGCAGCGGCTTTACCTGCTACCGGCCCTGGCCCATGTTTCTTTTTTTAATGATCATCTCTAATTTTGAAAAAGATGCTGTGCTAGGGTGTATTTTTCCTTTATTTTTTAATTGATTGTGAAATAATTTTTCTTAGAATGCTAAGTATGTCAAGGCATAGTTAAGAATACATACATAGGGGCCGGCGCCATGGTGCACTAGGTTAATCCTCCGCCTGCGGCGCTGGCATCCCATATGGGTGCCCGTTCTGTCCCGGTTGCCCCTCTTCCAGGCCAGCTCTCTGCTGTGACCCGGGAGTGCAGTGGAGGATGGCCCAAGTGCTTGGGCCCTGCACCCCATGGGAGACCAGGAGGAAGCACCTGGCTCCTGGCCTCAGATCGGCGCAGCGCTGGCCGCAGCAGTCATTTGGGGAGTGAAGCAACGGAAGGAAGACCTTTCTCTCTGTCTCTCTCTCTCTCACTGTCTGTAACTCTACCTGTCAAATAAATAAATAAAGTCTTTAAAAAAAATAATAAAAATAAAAAAGAGAATAGATACATAATAAATATTGACACATGAAAGTCTACACTCCACACCCCAACACATACACACACACAGTTATGTACCTGAGAACCCTTAATTTTCCAAGGATACAGCTAAGTCTTTTAAAAATAGCTTTAACTGTTTAATTTTCCAGGTGTTTCTCAAGCCGTGCTCCCACGTGGTGTCCTGTGAGCAAGTTGAGGTGGAGCCGCTCTCCGCAGACGACTGGGAAATACTGGTAAAGAAGACGGACTGCCTCGAAACACCCGTGCCTCGGGTTTTTCTTCTCTGCGCTTCATTGTGTATTCTGAGTTGGTTTGAGTGATAAGAATGCACTCTTAGAAATTAGAGAATGAAAGGAGGAATGCAGGTTAAAGAATTGCATTGGATTTGAGATTCAGGCTAAATGAGTAGAGTCTGGCTGCTTTTGCCATAGAAACAAGCAAAAACTGGGTAACTCAGTACTGTGACCTTTTTTCCGT